TCCAGCCCCTTCTTGCCTGTAAGGTCTCTTTTGAGAAATCATCTGACAGTCTGATGGGAACTCCTTTGTAGGTGACTGTCCCCTTATCTCTTGCTGCTTCTAGGATTCTCTTCTTCATTTGAATCTTGGCTAATGTAATGATGATGTGCCTTGGTGTGTTCCTTCTTGGGTCCAACTTCTTTGGGACTCTCTGAGCTTCCTGGACTTCCTGGAAGTCTATTTCCTTTGCCAGATTGGGGAAATTCTGTTTTATTATTTGTTCAAATAAGTTTTCCACTCATGGTTGTTCCTCTTCCCCTTCTGGTACCCCTATAATTTGGATGTTGGAATGTTTAAAGATGTCCTGGAGGTTCCTAAGCCTCTCCTCAATTTTTTGAATTCTTGTTTCTTCATCCTTTTCTGTTTGGTCATTTTTTTCTTCCTTCTGGTCCACTCCCTTGATTTGAGTCTCAGTTTCCTTTCCATTACTATTGGTTTCCTGTGCATTTCCCTTCATTTCAATTAGTTTAGCCTTCATATGTTCCTCTAATTTGTGACTAAAATCAACCAATTTTGTGAGCATCCTGATCACCAGTGTTTTGAACTACGCATTTGATAGGTTGGCCATTTCTTCATCACTTAGATTTATCAGCTCTGGGGCTCTGAGTTGTTCTTGAGCCATGTTTTGGTCTGTTCGTGCCTGTTAAGTATGAGGAGCAGAGCCTTAGTTGTTCACCAGGGCGGGACCACCCAGGTGGCTGGTTTGTGATGCTGTATGTGTGGGCGGGGTCAGAGAGGGACAATGTTGGTCCCCTCTGCCGCCTCCTGCCACTAGGGCCTGCACAGTCCGTTTCACTGCTTGCTCCACCGTTTTATCTGCGCGTGAATGTGTGACTGCGGTCAGCCCTCAGTGGGTCCTCTGCCCCGCGCCTTCAGTGAGTCCACTGCCTTGCACCCTCAGTGGGTCCGCCCACTTCTCCACACCTGGGATCTGCCCACAGCTGCCGGCGTGCCTGGGTCTCGCGCCCGGGTCGGTCTGCTGGATCTTTCCTGCCCGACCCCGCTCTGCTGCTGGCTCTGCTCCTCTTGGCTGAAGGGTTCGTTGTCAAACTTCTGTATAGTTCAATTTTCTGTGGTTTGGCTGTGTTTTTGTTGTTAAAGCTTTGTTATTTTTGAACTTGGTTGTGCGAGAAGGCAGAGTGTTTCCACCTACGCCTCTATCTTGGCGGAAGTCTCACTAGCACTTTTTTTAAAATAAAGATTTTATTTAAGAGAGAGAGGAAGGGAGACAAACATCAATGTGCAGGAGTGACATCAGTCAGTTGCCTCTTGTATGCCACTAACTGGGGAACGAACCTGCAACCCAGGCATGTGCTCTGACCAGGAATGGAACCAGTAGTCTTTCAGTGTGTGGGACGATGCCCAACTCACTGAGCCACCGCAGCCAGGGCCACTACCACTTTCTTATTGTTTTGGTTTGAACTCAAATATTTGTTTTCAAGTAGAAACCCTTTTAGTTACTGAATTGCTATTTCTTTTTTAATCTTCTCAATAGCACCTCTTCTCCCTGAAACTATATTACTGTTTTTCAGAGTTTTACTCTAGAACGTGATTTCCCCCTTCATCCTTGAGTCCCTGGAACGGTTTCTGGTACATGGAAGAATGTTGTTGACTTGCACAATTCACAAGACAAAAGCATCATAAAAGCAGTTCATTTGGAATTTTTCATTTACTTTGTATATTATTCTCTGTCAGGAAAAGACAATTTTGACTTGAGGCACCTAAAATTTGTTTTAAGCAGCATTTCAATGCTCCAAATTCCTAAGATCCTGAACCTACCCCTACTGTGCTCAAATATGACTACCAAAAAGGGCATGTTGGAGGAAAATGGAGGACTTTGGGTAACCCCGTGCTTTCTCCATGTTTCACAGACGTAAGGGCTGGCCACCAGCTTTTGATGGTGGCTGTGTGCTGTTATGTCACAAAGGTTACGTAGTCAGTCACTCTGGGACTTTTTAGTCCTCTTACTGTGTTACAGTTTGCTTTGTGAATGTATTTAACTGGGAATCGAATTAAATGGGTGAGCAGATTTACCACCAAACATGGTTTCCAAATTTTAATGGACTTTCCTCCTTAAAATGTCTTAAAGGGAGGTATATTATTACTTTAATGTTTACCCACTGGTTTAATTTTGTTAATTGCCACAAGCTCCAAAGCAGTGAAAATATGTTCTTAGTTTAAATAATAAAGGGAGGAAAGATCTTGGGTAGGGAACTTACTCAGTCATTTGTTTTATGGCTAAACAGAACTCTTAAATTGTACATTACTTGCATTTTTCTGGCGCATTTATCCTGCTTGTATCAGTTTCATTTTGTGTATCTTTGGCTGAAACCCGATGAGCTGAGTTTGCAGAGAGCTCCTGTGTTTGCCCATCTAACCATTTAGCGTGGAATTTTTTAAAATATATTTTATTGATTATGCCATTACAGTTGTCCCATTTCCCCCCTTCATTTCCCTCCACCCTGCATACCCCCTCCCGCCCCACAGTCCCCCCTTTAATTTATGTCCATGTGTCATAACTTCTTTAGCTTCTACATTTCCCACACTACTCTTGCCCTCCCCCTATTTCCTCCCCACTGTGTATACTACTTATTTTCTGTACCTTCTCCCCGGCTCTCCTCTTCCACTCCCCTGTTGCTAACCCTTCATGTGATCTCCATTTCTGGGGTTCTGTTCCTGTTCTAGTTGTTTGCTTAGTTTGCTTTTGTTTTAGGTGTGGTTGTTAATAACTGTGAGTTTGCTGTCCTTTCACTGTTTATCTTTTTTATCTTCTTTTTCTTAGATAAGTCCCTTTAACATTTCATAAAATAAGGGCTTAGTGATGATGAACTTGAACTTGACCTTATCTGAGAAGCACTTTATCTGCCCTTCCATTCTAAATGAAAACTTTGCTGGATAGAGCAATCTTGGATGGAGGTCCTTGACTTTCATGACTCGGAATACTTCTTTCCAGCACCTTCTTGCCTATGAGGTTTCTTTTGAAAAATCCACTGACATTCTGATGGTAACTTCTTTGTAGGTGACTGTCCCCTTATCTCTTGCTGCTTCTAGGATTCTCTCCTTCATTTGAATATTGGCTAATGTAATGATGATGTGCCTTGGTATGTTCCTTCTTGGATCCAATTTCTTTGGGACTCTCTGAGCTTCCTGGATTTCCTGGAAGTCTATTGCCAGCTTGGGGAAGTTCTCCTTCATTATTTGTTCAAATAAGTTTTCCACTTGTTGCTCTTTCTCTTCTGGTACCTCTATAATTTGGATGTTGGAACGTTTAAAGATGTCCTAGAGGTTCCTAAGCCTCTCCTCATTTTTTTGAATTTTTGTTTCTTCATTCTTTTCTGTTTGGTTTCTTTCTTCCTTCTGGTCCACTCCATTGATTTGATTCCCAGTTTTCTTTCCATCACTGTTGGTTTTCTGTGCATTTTCCTTCATTTCAGTTAGTGTAGCCTTCATTTTTTTCATGTAATTTGTGACTAAAATCAACCAGTTCTGTGAGCATCCTGATCACCAGTGTTTTGAAGTATGCATCTTATAGGTTGGCTATCTCTTTGTCACTTAGAAATATTGGCTCTGGGGCTTTGATTTGTTCTTCTGATCGAGCCATTTTTGGTCAGGTGGAGCCTGTTACTTATGAGGGGTGGAGCCTTAGGTGTTCACCAGGGCGGAGCAACCAAGAGTCTGGGTTATGATGCTGTAAGTGGGGGCGGGGTCAGAGAGTGAAAAATGGTGCTTGCTCTGCTCTCTCTCAGATTTCAGTCTTCTCTGCCACTTCCCACAAGCAAATTGGGCCCTTCTGGTTCTGGTTCCCGTGTGGGTGGGCTTGTGTACGTTCTAGAACCTTGTGGGTCTCTCCCAGGAACTCTCTTCTGAGGCTGGGAGCCACTCCCAGCACCTCAACCTCTGCAAGTTTTTTCGGTGGGTGCTTATAGGTTTTCTTTCCCATTGCTGGGGCTCTGGGTTCCAAGGTCTGTCTCACTGCTTGTTTTTTTTTTTGCCTGGTTTATCTTCACGCGAATGTGTGTCCGTGGTCAACCAGCCGCCTTGCATGCCTCACTGGGTCTGCCAACCATTGCTTTTTCCTGCCGCAATCCCTCTCTCCTGGCCGCAGACTCCACCCCTTTTACTGGTCTGGATGAATGGCTGTTGGACTTCTGTACAGTTCAATTTTCTGTCTGTCCTGGTTATGTTTTTGTTTGTAAATCTTTGTTGTCCTTAAATTTGGTTGTGCACAGAGGTACAGCGTTTCCACCTACGCCTCCATCTTGGCTGGAAGTCTTTTAGCATGGAATTTTAAGTGGATGGCTGGCTTTCACCTCTGAGGAGGTAGGGTCCCATGAAATGAGGAAAATTTTAGCTGGAGAGAGCCAGAGATGAGGGTGCATGTGAGTGTGGGTGCCTGAGCCTCGAGGGGATGTCTCTGTGTGGTTCTGGCCTCCTGGAAGGTAGGAGAGGGTATGTATGTGTGAAGGTGAGTAATGAGACTGGCTTGGATTAAAGCAGGACTCATGACAAAGCCGTCGTGCAGGTGATTTTCTATGGATATTGTAAAGAGTTGTTAAGCCCTCAAATACTTGGGAGTGTGCTTTGTCTGGGAGCCTTTTTAAAGCGGTTTCCGGCTACTCCAGATTTCTTTTATCTGGTCCATAGACTTATTAGTATCACTAGTGACCAGCCCATGGCTACATATGTATACATACCACATAGCTGTTCCTCTTCATTCAGCTTTTGCCAAAAACGGGGATGGATAGAGGGAGATACTGAGACGATGGCAGCACATGGAACATTCAAACGGAACATGTGTGCTTTAAGGAAGAAGGGCTTCCCTTGCACTAATCTCTTACCTCTGGTCTTCCCAAAGCCTCTGCGTTTAGTTTTAGATTCAATGGTTTTAGGCCTAGAACACAGAAACTCTGTTTGATTTGATTTATAAATATAATATTCTCTGTGTCTCTGCATTTTAACAGGGCAGCCCTGTACTGCATCGAAATGTCAGTTCTTTAAGAGAGCGAATATCTGCCTTCCAGTCAGCTTTTCAGTCCGTAAAGGAAAATGAAAGAACTACCGCCTGTCCTGATTTCTCAGAGGCAGAGGAAGAGTTCAAGCAAACAGGCTTGAGTAAGTAAAAGAAATTCAGTCAGTTTGGACTTTTGTATTTATTCAGACAAGCCTTGGGTACAAAAAAAGATTTAGTTCCACACTGCAAAAGCAGTCCTTCTGAGCAGAGTTGTGTGTTTATTTTTATTTTTATTTGATTGATTTTACTGAGAGACAGGAAGGAGGAGGGAGATACCAATTTGTTGTTCCACTTTTGCATTCATTTGTTGATTTTTTTAAATTTTTACTTATTGACTAGAGAGAAAGAGAGAGAGACATTGATCTGATCTTCCAGTTACTGATGGATTCATTGGTTGATTCATGAGTGTTTCTTGCCCAGAGGTCAAACCCACAACCTTGGCGTATCAGGATGACACTCTGACCACCTGAGCTGCCTGTCCAGGGCTGTTGGTTGAGTCTTTTAAAAAAAAATCCTCACCCAAGGACATGTTTATTGATTTTAGAGAGAGGGGAAGGGGGCGAGACAGAAATATCAACATGAGGGGAAAATACCAGGCATTTGCCTCCTGTACGTACCCCAGCCAGGTTGGTGTACAGCGTGATGCTCCAACCGACTGAACCACCCAGCCAGGGCCCATTGGTTGATTCTTGTGTGTGCGCTGACCGGGGATCAAACCCACAACCTTTGTGTGGGGAATGGTGGTCTAACTGAGCTAACAGTCTAGGGCCCAGAGTTGTATTTTCCAATGGGACATTTTATACAAAAACCTGCATTTCTAGTTTCTCTGGAAAAAACCTGATAGCAACCGTTTCTGAGCCTACATTTTCACAGGGTCACATGGTGAGCTCGTTTCATCTTTAGAATAGGGCACGTGGCGAATTTGAGTGTATGAACTTGGTTTTTATGGGGCTATTAAATTTGGCAAGTATTTTATAAGAATACCAAACACCCATATCCAGTATTTTAAACAGATATATCTAACCCGACATCTCAATAGCCTGCCATATTCTTTATCATAACTTTTAGATTATAATTCATTTGGTTATTTCTATCATCTTTGACTTTCCAACCACAGAGCATTCAGAACAAAAGAATTAGACGAAAGTTGGCTTCGCTGTAATCACCACAATCATACTTCTAGTGCTTTGCACACTAAGGAAGGATCCAGATGGTTTTGTTTTGGCCTCCTGGCCCATCTTCACGGCCCATTTCAACGCCTCCCTGCTTGCGGTGCACTGCAGACAGGACTGCCTATCAGTGCGTGACCTGCTCTGGTGCACTCATTTTTACTTGCAGTTTGTAGCTTATCTATTTTCCAGTATTTACCTGGGCTTTAAAATATTTTATTAACATGATTATAATTCTGCAAAGAGTAAGATTCTTTTTAGTAGCTAAAAACCTTGGTCACATTCTGGCTATTTCTGACAAAATCATACACAATCAAAGCAAGACCAATATTAGAACATAACCACATCCTTTAAAGTGTTCAAAAGAATAAGTTTCAGTGTCAATTTAAAAACAGAATGAGATACTATATCACCAAGGCAAATGTATTTTAGCATATCTTTTTTCATTTTAAAGTCTGAAGAAACTTAATTCTAATTAAATTTGTGTGATTTTAATAGTCCTGTTCTCTTACCTTTTTTGAATTAAAAATTGTACTAGATTTTCCTTTTTGTTGCTAAAGTCTTTCCACTTGAACATTAAATGTTACTAAAATGATGACATACAAAATTGTAAAATGACACTTAAAAAAATGCTTGTGCCTATGATTTTGTTTTGTGTGTACAGCCAAAAAGGAAAGTCTGGGTGAGCGTCGACAGTCTGCGTGCCCTGCCCAGTCACCCAAACGTCGGAGACGATCTTCTCAGAGCCGCTTGGACGCCAGTCTCACTACGGCAGCTGCTCTGCAGACGTTCAGTACGGCCACCCCTCCTGATGCAGACAGAACAAGCACAGCTGAAACTTCGGCAGACCTTTCTGAAGTAATTCAGTTACTGGAAACATGGGGCAATAAAGCTTTGATTTCCTGGCAAGGCAGTTTTAACACCCTTAAGATCCTTTCAAATTATGCACATGCGTGTGTGTGTATTTCCTATTAATTTGTGTTGTTAGTGTGCTTATTGGTTGTTAGAGACAGCTTGGAGTAAAAGCATTTTGGAAATATGAGGTGGCGTGTCTTCTGCCAGCGGAATGGGGTTATAGAGGCTGATGGTCCAACAGAAAGCTGCTGCAGGAGGCAGGCAGTGAGCGTGCTGCTCACACAGCGCTGGCCGATGAGAGAGGACTGCGCTGGCTCCTTGGGCGGGGTCTTGGCTCCTGGCCTTGCCACGCTGCCTGGTTTCTTGCTGACCTGAAGCAGGTGCTGTTTGGCACTTGGTCCTTTGCTTTGCTCATTTGCCTCAGGGGACTGTAGAGGTTTTTGTTGCTGATGACTGTTCAAAGTCTGTCAAGATGATCAAAAGACCAAGGTGAATTAAATGATGCTATTGACTGCTCTTGACCTGAACTCAAATGTAAACGAGGAGCTAGAGCTCTCACGAACAGTTCCTGCTTCATACTGTTAGTTTGGGTCTGGAACAGCAAGTCCCGTTTCCATAGTGAGGAGGGACACCTGACACTGGTGGAGTGGAAGCCTTTTTTGTGTACCTTCTCCAGAGCACTGATTTAGCACATGTCCTAATGATTTTATTGGGATCGGTATAAATGTTCGATGGTCAATTACAGATTCTTCAGGGGCAGTAGGTTCATTTTTATCTCAGAGTGGCTTATAATCTGACAGAACCAAGAATGATTGTTTCTGAACAGCACTGTGATTGTTTGGACATGCGCCGTGGTTGAGAAATGGCTTCCACATTCATATGAGTGCTGTCTGTCCTAGCCAGCAGTGCTTTTCCTGTCCTCGCCATTGGTATATTTTGTTGTTTGATTAGTAAGTACATATGCTTTCTGTTTGGAGAATTTCCTCTTTAATGGATGCAGTTAACATAGTTTCTGGACTTCAAATGATAAGGCAACAAAAATCTGTCCTATAAACTTTTCCTAGAGAACTAAAAATGTTGTTTGATAATATATTTCGGATGCAGTTAGAATGAATATTCTTTTTTAGTTGGATTCCCCTATACTTTTGTGACTAGATAATGAGGATGATAAAATCCCCTCATTGATTGATTGATTGGTTTAACATTAGGTTTCTAGGTAATCTGTACTAAAATATTTATAAAGATATTAGTAATCCTATAATTAATAAGATTTAATACTTTTTTTTTATTCTAAACATTTTCCCCCAAGAAATCTTCTGAACCTGGTTTAGCACAGTCTGGGTGTTTAGCTGAAGAGTCTCTTCTCTCAGAGCTCACAGAGGCTTCAAGTGGTAAGTGTTTAATTTTTCCTTAGTGCATGTGCCAGGGCACCCATGGAAACATTTTTTAAAAAAGATTTTACTCATCTATCTTTAGAGGGGAAGGGAAGGAGAGAGGGAGAGAAATATCAATGTATGGTTGCCTTTCGTGTGTCCCCCACTGGGAACTAGCCTGCAACCCAGGCGTGTGCCCTGACTGGGAATCTAACCCGCACACCTTTGGTTCACAAGCCTGCACTCAATCCACTGAGCTACACCAGCCAGGGCTGTAAAAGAACTTCTTTTAGTGCTTTTTATAGTTCACATCCACTCTATTCATCTTAATCTTATAACAGATAGATGAGGCGCAGAAGTGGTTAGTGAGCTTGTTACCTAGGTGAAAGAAGATGCTTTTGCCTTCGGCATTTTTTACCAATAATTTTGCTTCACTCTCAGGATTTTGTCTTAGAAGTGTCATACCCTTTGACTGTAGTTACAGAATGTATGCAGTGTGGTCATTAAAAACTGTCATCATACCACATTACCTCCCTGTACAACCTGTCTCAGGTGAGACCATCACAGCAAAAGCCAACATATCTCATTTTACATCTCACCACGCCCTATACAGAGACATTGCATAAGACAGAGAAAGATAAATCTACCATAGATGTGGGGCCTTGATTAAAAGAACCTACTGCTAACTTCATTGCTTTAAACTGGTTATTTGGTGGCACCCCAGAAGTTCGTATATTTCAGACCATGCAGCTTTAGGAAGAATGAAAAGATCTTGTAAAGCGGGGTAGCATATACTCAGCTCAGGGAGTGCTGGGAGCGGAGTGAGCCCGCGCGATGCCTCCGTGAGCTTCCTGGCCCTCTCCACTTTGTCCCTTTCACCCATCTGCCTGGGAGTCCAGCCTGGAGACACTCCCTGCCTGCTCACCTCCTCTCTTAGGTCGATCTGAGCCTAACATTTTGTGTGCTGATATTCCTCACCAGATTTATCACATCACAGGGGCCCTTGGCACTTGGTGGTCTCCTTGCCTCCCACTGTTTCTTGACCCAGCTCCAAACAGGCCTCGGGAGTGGGCAGCCTCCTCGTTGCCACCCCGGGGCCGTACTCAATGTGTCCCTGTCCTGGAGGGCTCACGGGCGACAGCGGCTGAGCTAGCCTCGGCCTTCTGGGAGGGCTGGTCCCTTCACTGGGCATCTGGACACCGTTCTCTTGTGGCTTCCCCTACTTCGTGGACCTGTTCTTTGTGTGTTTTCCCTGTTCCTCCTCTTCCATTTTTGACCTTAGAAACATTCAGTGCCCTGGGTTCAGTGCTCTTTTTTTTTCTTTCTTTCTCTCTCTCTAAACTCACTCCTTAGGTGACTGCCATCATTGTCAACAGTAAATAGGATCTGTGTGCTGTTGATCAGGGTGTCTGTCCTTGAGCTCTTCCCAGAACTCTAAACTAAGCACCTGGCTGCCTTTCCTGATCTCCCCATAGATGTCTAACGAACACCTCAGATTTAACACACTCTGATAGGTCATGAGGATTTTTCCTGCCCCCAGTCTGCTCATCTCGATTTTCTTCATCTCAGGAAACAAGACTACCATTCACCCAATTGCTTGTGCCAAAAACCTTGCAGTTGTCTGGACACTTCCCTTTTTCAAGTTCAGCTTCTAGCCCCATGAATAAATGCTGTTTGCCTTTAGCATATTTTGAATGTCTAACCACTTCTGACCTCCTAACTTCTACTAGTGTGGATCAGACTACCATCTTCTCTTGCCTGGAAATCATAAGTGATCTCCCTATTTCTACTGCCATTCTGCCCTTTTCTTAGTCTTCTACACAGTGGCAGGGTACTCCTTTTAAAATGCAAGCCACACTATTTCATTCCCCTTCTTAAAATCTTTCATCAGCTTCCCAGTGTACTTAGAACAGGATCCAGCACCCTTTCTGCTACACCTTACCGGACCTAGTCCTGAGCTTATTTGTTAGCTCTTCTTGTTCCCTCTTTTCCAGTCACACTGCCCCTGTCCCTCCCTGTAATATGCCAGGTACTTTCCCGTATCAGGTCTTTGCTCTTGGCTTGGCGCATGGACTGCTGCTCTCTAGATGTGTGCACGGCGCACTTTATTCAGATGCCTGCCCAGGAAGCTGTCTTTGAACGCCCCAAAGTAGCAGCACTGCCACTTCACTGCGCCCTGGCCCCGTATCTCAACTTTATTTTCCGTAATGGCAGGTATTTCTACTTGCTGTATGTGCATTTCTTTAACTTTTTATTTTGAGCTAACTGTAGATTCACTTGCAGTTGTAAGAAATAATCTAAAGAGATCCAATATACCCTTGCCCCATTTCTCCCAGCGGCACATCTTACGTAGCTGGAATACAGTGTCACACCGGAAATCAGTGTCACACCCGAAAACTGACACTGATCCAGCCCCCAGGTTTTCTCAGATTGCATCCATTTTACATGCACTCATTTGTGTGTAGACCAGTTTCGTGTAATTGTGCCCCGTGTAGACTCATGACCACACTGCAGGCAGCAACAGAACAGTTTAATCACAGGGATCCCTCATGGGGACTTTGTATGTGTTGTTCATCATTGTCTCTGGAGTGTCTGTCATGTCAGAGACGTATAATATATGTTTGTCAAATGTTGATCATAAGGCAGTGCGCTCTCATGAGAAGGGGTTTGCAAAGGGCAGTTGCTTGGTTTGGGGGCACATATAATGTGTTAGTTTTCTTGATTTTATCATCTTTGCCATCAGCATGCTGTCCTCTCCCTCCTACCACCCTTACAAGCAGTAAAACCGGGTATTATTTGTTGTGATCTCAGGTGAGCTTTAGGGTGCAAGTCACAGGTGTCACGAGTAGAGGCAGATGAACAGTTATTAGCTGATTCATGGATATATGCCCAGATTCCCCTGGGAGCCAAAACTTCAGAGGTAGGTTGGAATTAAAAGCTGTAGCCAGTGCCACTTCTCTGTCTTCTCTTTACGTTTCCGAATGAAAACCCAGATAGTATTCCCTAAGCAGATATGTTAGGGTTGAGTTTCTTTGCAGCATGTTATTGCCTTTGCAAATGCAAAGTTTTTGTGTAGAACAAGCTGACTCAGGTGTCTTCTGCCTCTTGTGTTTTACATGGTTACTTTGAAGGAATCAAGGCTGCTAACTGTGCAAAGGGCAGAGAATCAGGAGATGCTGTTTCACCTGACAAATTTGCAGAAGGGAGCAGAGGCCCGGCTCCTGAAGTCAGGTCCCTGGTCACTCCACCGTGCAAGAGGGACATTCTGTCCTCCGAGACCTCTGTCCTTCGTTCTGTGCTGAAGAAACCCTCCGGGAAGCTGAGTCCAGAAAGCCTGCAGGTAAGTAAGTATAGAGCTACATTTCCTAAAGCAAATGAATACAAATTCATTTAGTTCACAGCAACACCGCTAAAATGTTAAATGCCATGATGGTTTAAAAGGAAATGTCTCACCTGTCTTTCCCCTCGTTTTCTCATAATACTGTGCAGTTCTTGTTTTAAAAAACTCAGAACAGGCCCTGGTTGGTGTGGTTCGGTGGATTGAGTGGCAGCCTGCGAACCAAAGGGTCACCGGTTGTATTCCTAGGCTCGGGCACATGCCTGGGTTGTGGGCCAGATCCTACAATGCGGGCACACGAGACAACCACAGGTTGATGTTTCCCTCTCTTTCTTCCTCCCTTCCCCTCTCTAAATAAAACCTTAAAAAGAACTGAGTGGAATATAGCATGTGGAATTTAATAGAGGTGGACTATATTTTATAAGAGTTTCATAGCTCTTAACGTGTGGGTCTGTTCAATTATTTGGTCTCAGAGATGCGTCTTTTACAGGCATGCACCTTCCTTTGAGGTTGGTCAGCGGGAGGGAAGAAGAGGCTGGTGGGAACCAGCTGGCATTTCCTGAGTACTTCCCTGTGGACATCTGGCATGTATCGTGTACATGCAGCCATCGTCCCCAAGAAAGGCGTTGGCTCCATTTTATGGACACCTAGGCTGGAGGTGGTTGAATGAGCCCCCCAAACAAATCTGATGTTAAAATCCATGATGGGTGATAGATGCTGTGGTCGGCCAAGAGGTTCTGGAGTCAAGGCACCTGGTGCAAGTGCTCACTCTGAGGTTTACAAGCTGGACAAATTAATTAACCTTTTTGTACCCTGGCTCTTTACCTACAAAAGGACAATATTAGTAACTACCTTACAGGATAATTCGAGCACTAAGTGGGATAATAATGTGAAATTAGCACCAGTGCCTGGCAAATGAGAAGTACATTTTTTTCCTATTTGTAGGCATTTTAACATCTAGCTAGGCCTACAGATCTGTTTCTAAAGCTAAAATAAACTAGGTTACCTTCTATCTATATGGGTAGATGTTCAGTTATTATTTTAAATATAACAGTTTTCCTGGTTAAGAGCTGATTTGGGTCTCTATACAGTGTAACTCATTCATACCTTCTGTTTGTTTTATCTTCTCTTCAAAGAATCTTAATGGTTTGTGTAACTTATTGGTGAACAGTGTTACATAGTAAAGATCATGACAAGACTCTTACAACTGATGACCTTTTTACTAAGCTGCTCAAAGTTTGCAGGTGTCTAGAGTTGAAGTTTTCTGCTAACTCTCATGGTTATTTCAATTAAAAATAAGTCTAAACATTAACATGAATTTTGCTTCATAAATTCACTTAATTCACAGGTACTGATTGGGATATTTTCCTGGTCCAGAAAGTGAAACTGACTCAGGATATAGTTGGTCACGGAGGTTTGCTTGGGGCAAGACAGTCTCAGCAGTGGCCCTGCCCTCGGAATGGGTGGACTGGAGGGAACGAGGAGCCCCAGGGAGCAGGCTGGTCAGGGCTTGGGGAGCTGGACGCACAGGAGGCCTGGCCTCAGTCTCCCTGTTGTGCTCCAGTGGCCCCGTGTGTAGACTCGCCCCATCTTGTTCTTGAGATTCGCAATGTCCCATCCTCACCAACATGCCTGCTGTCATTGTCCTTCTGAAGAGCACAGAGGGACACATGCTGCCCTCATTCCTTATTTCTAACCCAAGAATATACTAATGTAGAAAGGAGATCATACTCTTATAAAAGGTGTGGTTCCATGTTTATAAGACAGAACACCCTGTTACACAATTTACCCATTCGTTCTTCCCTCGTTTTAGTGCAGCTCTTACATACCCCTGGCCGTTTACGCAGTCTTCCTCATCCACTCAGTGTCCTAACTTTGCTTGCCAGATCAAGAATGAGGAAATGAATTTAGCCCACGTATGGATTTCTATTCTTTGATTTTGGCTTAAAATACTATGTATAAAGTTCTATCTAGGGAACCTAGTGTTTCTCTGTGCCTAATATCATGGTATTTCAGCCAGAACAACAATGGAAGTCTTCTGTAATATTATAGTCTCTACCCTTGGTAGCAAAAAATTTCCAGTTGCCATTGTTAATGGCTGTGTGTGTGTGTCAGGAGTGTCACATCCACTGATGTCCATTTTGCGCAGGAGCACTGTGACACCCTCTGTGGTCCTGGGGCTCACCCAAGCTTCCCCTCGCATCCTGCAAACTGTGGCAGAGAACAAAAAGCAGGTAAGAAACTCATGTTTGTTTTGAAGCATAAGGATTTCATTGTCTTGTTATAAAAAAAATCAGAGATAGTCTATGGTATCTTTAGTGATCTGCTAATGGCTTGATATGACAACTGGGAGAAGTGGACTCTGTTTAGAGGGTCTCAGGATTGGTCTGTCCATTTTATTGATTCATTTTCGCTTGGTGGTGAGCTCAGTATTCCAATTTTGTAAACTTCTAAGATATTCATGTGAAGTTCACTTTAAAATCTGTTACTGTATTTTAATTAGAAATACTGCTTATCTTTTTCATTTTTAATTTTGCTACAAATTTTTATACAGATAATGGAATCTAATCATTTTAAAAGATTCTAGGATGTGTCTTATAAAAAAGGAATTGAGCTTAAGTTTTTAATATATTCCTATTTGTTATCTGTAGAAGGTCAAGAAAATTACAAAGTGCCGGCCTTTGTAAATATGAGGAAGAGGAAGAGGGTGACCTTTGGAGAGGACCTGAGCCCCGAAGTGTTTGATGAGTCTCTGCCAGCCAACACCCCATTGCAAAAAGGAGGGACACCTGTCCGGAGAGAGGACTTAAGTGGGATCAGCCCTGTGCTGCTTGAGCAGTCACCGGTTCCTGAGCCGTTGCCTCAGCCCAACTTTGATGACAAAGGGGAAGATGTTGTAAGTGTGAAAAATGTGGAACAAAGTAGTGTAAATTTTAATCAGGCCTCACTTATTTTGCATGACCAATCATTATGCTTTGAAATTATGAAATGGACTAAATGATGTGTCATGGTATAGACAATGCATTTTTCTAGGCAGGGTATTACCAGTTTTCTCTTATTAAAGACAATATGAAAGTTAAACTGTGACACATCATGAACTGTAAGACGTGCAACAGTCTACCCTTGTCCATGGTTTCAGTTACCCACAGACAACTGCACTCCAAAAATATTAAGTGGAAACCCCCAGAAATAAACAATCCATAGGTTTTCAGCTGCGTGCCACTCTAAAGTACCTCTCTTCATCTCCTCTCAAGGTGTTCTGCTGTCTCACGTCTGCACAAGAAAAGGGGGGTACAGTACAGTAAGATATTTTGGAGCGACCACATTTACATAACTTTTATTACATTGTCTTGGTGTAATTTTTTTATTTCATTGTTAACTATTACTGTTAATCTCTTACTGTACCTAATTTATAAGTTCAACTTTCACATAGTGCCTGTATGTTTTGGAATTGTCCATGGTTTCAGGCATCCAGTGGGGTTTCTTTGACCTTATCCCCCCTGTGGACAAGGGGGACCACTATACACAGATTTTAGAGGTGTTAAAATGTGAAAGAGCAACAGACTTAGAATCAATAACCTATAAATATAAACTGGTTTTCCCATAAGGTCAGTTTTTACAGGTGGATTACCAGATTAAAGAATACGAACTTTCTGATGAACATTGCTAAATTTTCTGGAGAAAATATGTACAAATTTGAACTCACTGCAATATAAATGGTTTTATTTTACCACAGCTTTGTAAATCCTGTGTATTAACCATACTTATTAAAAGCAGCATGATAGGAGCAAAAGATGACTTGAAAATTTTTAGTTATTAGTAAAATTTGAACACTTTTCACGTTTATAGACCATTTGAATTTCTTGTCTTGAGAACTACCTATTAATCTTCCTTATCTACTTTTATATTGAGACCATCATTTATTCTCTCTCTTGCTGTTTCACTTTGAAATAGAATAATTTGCTTTAGTCTGGGATGAAGTAAGAGGGACCTAATTATGCTCTTGTGAGAAACAAGTAAAAAACTAGAGATGATATAGGAAGCAGTAGTTCTCAGGTAGTTAACATCAGGCAGCACAGCATGGTAATCCCTGAGAGGAGAGAGGCCAAGGAGATGAGCCTGTGAGAGGCCCGACCCACTGTCTGGGCTGCATTACGAGGCTGCAGCGTGGGGAAGGTTTGTCTGAGTGGACTGGCAGTCTCGTGCGCTGGGAGCATGGAGTCAGGGTCTGGGAAAGCAGAGTAGGCTAGAGGTCACAGGGCAAAGTACCAGAGGGGAGAGAGCTTCGCAGAGAGCTCTGGGATTGGCAGAGGGTCCCACTTAAGCCCTTTGTGCTGAGGGCTGGGCAACAAATGCTTGCGAGTAAAGTGCTCGGGGCCAGGTGAGACAATCCAAAAGGAGCAGAGGGAGCACTGCCTGGAGCTCACACACACTGGGGTGGGAACAGTGTTCCCACCAGCCTGGTTCAAAACACCTCTTGAGGGGTTGTTGGCTGTTCAAGAGAGTTGCTTCATTAGTAGAGCAGAGTGAGACTAAAAATCTAGTGGAGCTTAAAAGTGAGCTGTGAAAGGACCCAGCTTGTATTCAGGTACTTAACTGCATTGAATAACAAAGTTCGATAATAACATAACAAAACTGCACTACAAAACCACGTTAGATTCAAAATCTCTGATGCGATTAAAAACCAGTAGATGTGTAAGAAAAGATGCCCATAATGAGGAGAACAGGTTCATGAACTTGAAGATGTAGCAGTAGAAATTACTCTCAGTGAAACAGAAGAAGAGACTAAACAAGGTAGACAACTGGCGAGCTTTAACAACTTCAGATAGCAGAACGCGTGTAATTAGAGACCCCAAAGGAGAGGAGCGACCCAAAGGAACCGAAAAAAATATTTGAAAAACAATGGCTGAAATATTTCCCAATGTTATAAAATGACAATCCCATAGATTCTAAAGTACAGCAAGTTTGCAGCATGTGAAACACGAAGAAAAGTACTAAGACACATCATTGCTTAAAACCACTGATAAATGGCCAGAAATGGGTGGGAAAAGCAGACAGGAGGCCTGAAGAGGAACAAACGGAAGGCAGTGCAGCAACAGCTTCGGTCGGTATAATTCGGGGGAAAACTTCCTGGCAACCTAGAATTGTATGTCCAGGGAAACTTTCATAAAAACAGAAGTGAATTAAAGGCTTTTTCAGATTTGTGAAAGCTAGAAGAATTAATCTCTATAGCAGGTTAGCACTGGAAAAAATGTTAAACGAAGTCCTTTGGTCAAAGGGGAAGTAGTTCCAGCTGGAAATCTGCGTGTAACATAGGAGTGACGGGCACTATAAATGCCAAACATTTGGGCAAATGTAACAGATGGTTTCCTCTTCTTAATCTCTATGGAAGATACCATTCAAAAGAAGAGTAACAACAAAGTGTTATTTGGTTTGTAACACGTGTAAATAAGACAGTTAAAATACCATGACGTAAAGGCTGGGAGGAGTCCTTAGACTATACGCAGAGTTGTGTAAGTAAAGAGGCATACTGTAAGCCATTAACCACTTTCAAAAGACAGCACAGATGTACAGAATGCAGCTAAAACAGTGCTTACAGGGAAATTTTGAAAAATTAAAGCCTGATTTCAAAATAAGAGATATCTCAAACTAATCTCAGCTTCCACTTTAAGAAAAAGAAAAGTTCAAGCAGAGCGAGCAGAGGACATAATGTAAATGCAGAAACCAGTGGAATAGAAAATTTCAAAAAGTTTTATTGAAAGCAAAAGTTTGTGCTTTAAAGAAATAATGTTAGTAAACTTCTGATCAGACTATTCAGGAAAAAAGGAGACTACTCGAATTACCAGTAAGCAATGTGAGAGGTAACTATATATGCTAACACAGTAAAAGGACAATAAGGGAATATTATTAACAACTTTATGTCAGTAATTTGAACAACTTAGAGAAACTAGACACATTTCTTTTCATTCGAGAAGAAATAAATGACCTCATTAGCTCAATTTCAATTGAAGAAATTTAAGTTGTAGTTAAACCTTCTCACAAAAAGCCCTGCATGTCCACATGACTTTACTAATGAATTCTACCAAACATTTAAGAAAGGTATGACACTGATTCTACATACACACTTCCAAACAAACCGAGGAGGTGGAAATCCTCTCCAGTTGTCGGTGTCAGCATTGCGGGACACATATCAGACAGGCATTGTAAGAACACAGCAGTCCCGTACCCTCAGGAACACAGGAACGTACATCGTGACCAAACGAGATTTAACCCAGAGATGCGAAGATGGTTTAATATTTTAAAAACAGTTTGTGTAATTCACCATTTTAACAGACTAAGACTGAGAAACCATACGTTCATCTCAGTAAACGGAGAAGAAACATTTGACAAAATCCAGGGTCGATTTCTTATAAAAACTGAGGAAACATGAAAAAAAGAAATTTTCTTCAGCCTGATAAATTTTATCTATGAAAAATCAAACTTACCATCATAATGGCAATTACATGGGAAAGAAAAGATCTGATCTGTGTTTATATTGCCGTTTTACCTTGCAGTTCCCCTGAATAATTTGTAATCTTAGGTTGTGTTTATTAATGGATTGTCTTTTATAGTAATTAAGACCTGAGATTTTAAATAAACCAAAAAAAGTAACTTATAGTGTGTCATTATGGCTACCTTCACTTTAAGTTTTTGTTTGTTTTGGTGGATTGTAGTTAGTAAACATGGTTTTATTTAGGATGATTGGTAAATATTAGAAAAATATTTTATTTTTATATCCAATATCTCCTGTTTTGCTTTGACATTTTCCTTTTCAATTTTTTATTGCTTTCTCATCTTTATGCTTATTACAATTTTACTTACAAAAATAAATCCACATTATTTTCTTTGGAGCACATTTTTTGTGTGTCCACTGACCTTAAGGATGTCTAATTTCTCTTTTTTTGTTGTTGTTTTTTGTTTAGGAAAACATAGAACCTCTTCAGGTATCATTTGCTGCTGTGAGCCCTCTTAGTAAGTCTTCAGTCTCTGAGACTCTTTCAGGTAGTATTCTTTTATGATCATAAGTGTTATTTGCAATTATCTGTGTGTATGAACGTTAATTCCCTTTTTAAAAAATATTTTATTGTTGTTCTAGTACAGTGTTCCCAGATTTTCCCCCTTTGCCCTCCTCCACCCAGCCTTTATTTTCTTACTGCAATTTTATTACAACAATGCATACTTGGTTAACAAACCAAACAGTATAGAAAAGCTTCTAAGAAGTCTCTTACCCATCCATTTCCATTTCAGGTCCCACTCTTCATAGTTACCCACATTTAACTTCCTCAGATGGAAGCTCCTTTTCCCAGTTAGCCCAGTTGAAGTAATACGGATTGTAAGGGTCGTTCCTGAATCTCCAAAATTGTTCATCAACATGAATGTGGCATCTTGGGCACGCATGTACTTCCCAAGGTCTCTGGCTTTTATATGATCGTGACAAGGCAACAAACGTTGCTGCACTTTCCCAAGAAACCAGAACTTGGCTGGCAAGCCTGTCATGGGACAGTCTCATAGGGTGGGAGCCATTATTCTTGCCTTTTCCCAGTTGAAATCCTTGAATGGCTTCTGTGGGCTGTAGGACACAACCCCTGTAGGACACAACCTGAGCTCATTAGCACAGAACCCAGGTCAGGGACTTGTAAAGTAGAGCCAAATCGGAAGCAATTGTCTATCATGTTCCAGAGCGTATGCTCTTGAACACATTGTACTGCCTTTCCTTTATACCATTAAAAGTAGTCAAAGTAAAATTTTCCTGAGCTTTGTAAAATAAAGTATTTTCACGATCATTTTAATGCCTTTTATTGCAATTTCATTTTTAAAATGTAGCTTGGAATAAAGAGACATGAGTAAAAATACAGGTATTTATTATGTGATTTAGTCTGTTAGCAAGATAACATGTTATGCAGTCTCTATGGAAATTGGCAGAAGTTTCTGGTGTTTAGTCAACTTAAATATTTTTGAATCTCAAACTATATTCCTCACGATGATTATGTCTAGATATGATATGGTGGTAAGAGCAAAGGTGGGTATTCAGAAGAGCCGGGTGAATATCGGATGGCAGATCTTACAGCATTTTGTTAGTTATGCTAATTTTGCTCTATCTTGTTCTTCAGGCACTGATACCTTCAGCTTTTCAAATAACCACAAGAAAATACCTTCCTGTAAAGACGGTAGAAGAACACGGTCCTCTAGCAGAAGAAGTGTAAGTGTTCACACTTGACACAATGTATTTTTAAATCTTTGCAGTACATTTCTTTGCTTTTCACACTCAGGTGATGATGGCTAAAATCTTGGCTTGGACAGTGTTACTGAGAGCTAATGCCTTATCCTACCTATCATGTGACCCAGGGTAATGACATTTTCCTGCTTCGGTTTTATTTAATTTTGTTAGAAGAAAAAGCCAATAAAACAAGAAGCTTCCCATGAACAAGTTTGTGTTAATGTGGAAGATAATCTGTTTGAAAAGCTTGTTGGAGATCTGTGTGGCTTTATGAATTTTGTTGAGCTATAAAGTGGGGAAGAGTAGCATGTAATTAGCACAGTCAGAAAATAGCATAAATAGGATCTTTTTGAAAACTTTACATTGTGTTGTTTTTTAACACAGGGTTTTGGCTATTTTTGGTATGAGCCTAATTTTTCATTGAATGCATATGTTTTGCTATTTTATTAAATTTGATAAAATTGAATTTTTTTCTGTAGCATTATAGTGCATAAACATAGGAGTATACTATTGCAGGGTTTTTAGCTGATATTGTTGGATAGTTAACCCAGAATTCAAACTCAGATTATCTAATAGTTGATGATCTTGTTCCCTGTACCTCAGCAGCAGTTAGGTGCTAACTCATAGATGCTGAATAAATATTTTTGTGAATGAATTAATGAACCAATTCTTAAGTTAGGGTTTTTTCTTTCTCAAAATAATTGGGCAGAGTATATGCTTCTGGGTCCATGCTTGATAAAGCAGAAATTAATCATTACTATTTCTCCCATTTGAGGTTAAGTTGGTTAAAATACATCTAATGGAATTTGTAAATTTAGAGGGACTGGCCTATAAGAATGGTAGAAGCAATATGGGAAAGAAAACAAAGGTGAGAGAACATACATTAAAATGTAACTGCTTGCATTGTGTGGTATTCCTACATTAAATTTTCTTTATAGCAATTGATCAGTTTTGCAGAAGAGAGTGTTTGCAACTTGCTTAACACGGAAGCTCAGCCTTGCAAAGAGAAGAAAATTAAAAGGAGGACATCTCAAGAAAGCAAGGGCCCACACAGAATACCTCCAAAAAAGAATCAGGTGAGTGTGTGTCTAAAGATATAGTACAGAAGTGGTGCATTTCCTTGTTGTGTCGTTAGGTAAACATGGAAACAGTTTTTTTGGTTACCATTACACCAAGAATATTAAAATTATCTTATAGAAAGGAAAGAACCATAAGAGATTATATACTCAGTTCATAATTACCCAGGGGCCATTTTTGCATCTTCTTTTATTGTGTTAGGCATATCCAGTACAATAAATCATCGGCACTCGGATGTTAAATCAGTTCTTATCTCTGAATCGAATCAAACTGCACCCTGTTTGGGAAATCTCATTTTCTAGACAGGGATGAGTGCGCCGTCTACCACTCGTTTGACCTTGTTTCTGCCAATGGCTGGATCTCTTCCCTGTGTTTAAGAAAGAATTTAGAAACCCCCTCTCAGTCAGTATGTCAAGGCCCGTCCCAGCTCCAATGACTTCGTCTCTTTATGGGTAACCAATCCTCGTACCTTAACCCAGTTACTAGGCCTCCCCAGCCAGTCCCCCCTCCCCTGAACTGGACGTTCCTTTGTGATAGCCTGTCGCTTGTTGATACCCAAGCCCCTCCCACTTTTACTAGTGTGCCTTCGTAGGTCCCAGCCCTGACCCCAGCCTTCTGTCCATCAGCCCTTGCACTCCCTTACTTGTGTCCCTCTGCTGGTACTGATAACCTGTTGGCCCTCTGTTTACTCTCTAGCTTTCGGATATCTCATAATTTCCCACGTTTTCTTGTTTATCCTAAACCACGTGAGCTGTTGTTAGCCACCCTCATTAACCTCAGCTCTTCATCCCTTCCATTCTGCTTCCACTCTGGACTAGCCTAACCATGACCCCCTCTCCCACCTAACACGGCTCCTGGAGAGATGTACAGGTGCTTACACGGTAGCTGACGTGTGGTCTCACTCTTTGCCACTTCACTTCAATTTTTTTTTCCAAGGGATGCAGTAACTTAGTGACCAAAGTCCAGGGCCTTGTTTAGGTCTTGTTCTCACTCATCATCTCAGCAACGTACACCACCATTGGGAACACTGTTCTCTGTTCCCAATCTCTGTTAAACGTTTGTTTGCTTCCACCTATCCTTAGATGTTTGTGTTACAATTACCCGGAGCTGTGCTCTTTGCCCTGCCAAATTGTATGTTTTCTGGTTGATTTCATGTGCAGCATGGTTGGTGACTCCCAGATCTTTCTGATCTGTGCACAGTACGTTCGACTGTCTACTAGACATTTCTTCTTAAACCATCCTACAAATGCCTAAAAAATCCACATTTTCAAAACTCACATTTTCACCCCAACACACATCTACCCAAAACAGTCAGTAAACTTGTTTATACTTCATAAAATAAAAACTGCTGCCATCTTGGCACAGTTACCCCCAAGTCAGCAAAACCAGAAGAATCTGAGTGTTCTCCTGGTCCAGTTGCTTTTTTAGGTCTTGTAGTTCTTTGAAAGATCCCTTTGCTGAAAAAAGTACACATAAGTTCAGGAATGTACATTCAACTTAAATTATTGCATTAGAAATTGGTTTCCCTCATACTCTTTATAAAATGCCGTTACAAAGAACATATACCTGCTTCACATAAAATCAGTAGCCATAAAGTTCAAGAAGATCTGAGCATTAAGTTCTGCTCCAACCCCTCCCAGGATCCCACTGCATCAAACTATTGATGTAAGACCAGGGTAGGCTTAGAGTAGCAATGAGAAAAGGAAGGAAATGAGGAGGGGTATTAAGCAATAGATAACAGCCTTCAATGAATTTCTGGAAGACAAAGCAGATGGGAGCATGTTACCAGATAAAAGGTGGAAAGATTTACAGCCCAGAATGTGCTAGGAGGGAGCTAGAGAGGCGCTGGGAGCCAGCCTGTCTGTTGGAATCCCAAGAGACTGGGCCCAGTATTGGCAGGTACAGTGGGTGGTGAGAGTGAGAAGTGGTGATGAAAAACAGCTTAGCTGAAGTCCTGTGTGTGAAACAGTTGGCACCCCACCCCCTCTCCCACCCTGAAGCTCAGAACAGATGTTGCCATCTAGGTTGAAGCCTTCATCTGGCATTTGGAAAACTCCACACTCTCAACCGCCAGCTCCTGCCCTGAAGCAGGGACTGCCCTTGGCAGTCTCCATTCTCCCGTCCCATACAGAGCTCCTCCTAATAGAGTTGCCACGCAGGAGAGGGACAGAGCTGGAGAGCAGAGGAAACCCACACCCATTTCCAATCTTTCCTTAGGTAAGAGTCAGACAACTGAGTAGAACCATGGCAGACCAATGTTAAAAAGTTGAAAAAACTGACCTCAGAGAGAAATACTCTTCAGAGAATGGAAGGAAATGTTATTAAAAATAAATAAATGTTCTGATCTACTCAAATTTAAGAAAGCATAAAAGAAGGGTATGTCATGAAAAAGGAGCAGAGAAGAAGCATTTACAAAAATAAAATGTAGTAGTTGGACTAGAGAATGAAATTGAGGAATGTCTCCCGGGAGGCAGAGCAGAAGGGAGACGGAACAGTGATGAGACGGAAGACCAGGCTAGGAGTCCTCGTGGGTGTCTCAGGGCAAGAAGGTGCATGGAAGACATTGTCAGAGTACAGCAAGAGGATTTCTCCAACCTGAAGAAAGGAATCGAACAACAAGAATAAGGAGAAAAGTGGGCTTTTCCTACCAGGAAATAGTATCAGAGTGGTGTCAGGTTTCACAGCAGTCTGAAAGCAGAAAGATATTTCACTGGGACATTTAAAGCTTTGAAAGAAACCTGATTTGAGCCCCAAATTCTGGACCCAGCCAAATTTAATTAAGGGTGAAAGAAAAAAGACGTTCAGCCATTTCAAGGACTTTGAATGTGTTTCTGTGGTATTACTGGGGGTGCTACGCGGGCAGAATGAAGTAAGCTTGAGCAGTCAGGACTTGGTGGATCTGCCCATGAGGCAGAGCAGTGCCAGGGGAATCTCGGGTAGTGGCTGGGCCACCAGCAGTTCTCACTCAGGCCTGTGTGAGAGAAGGGGTGCTCCCAGGAGAGGTCTCCGGGGACAGGGCAGAAGGGCCTGTGAGCAAGAAAATTGAAGGTGTGCCATAGAAGAAGAGGCAAGGTAGTTATATACCCTTTCAAAAAGAGTCTGTATGCAAACGTTTTGAAGCATACATGATTTCAAGCAATGAGGAAGTGAGGAAAAGGGTATTTGATAATGCTATGAATCATCAGGGTGGCGATGGCACCAGAGGAAAAGAAAGGCATAGGATCTCTGTCCCGCAGGGCAGTGGAAAATGCATTGGCAGCCCTAATGTGATGGAAAGGCTCTTTGTTTTTAGCTAAGGGCCCAGCTTGAACAATGAGATTGTGTACAAGACGATCTAGGTGGAGCTACGAGCAGAAGGCAGAAGTGTCTGGAGAGGGTGGAGGTGAGGGCTTAACACTAACTGCAGTGGTCAGGAGAGCAGGCCGGGGAGTCACGGCAGCTGGGGTCTCAGTCCTGCTGCTTCCTGGCACTGGGTGGTGGGCGAGAGTCGTGATCCCTCTGTTGGTTTTCAATGGAGGTATTCACGGCACTTATTTTATAAGCTCATGGGGAGTAGTGAATGAGTTAATATGTATGAAATGCTTAGAACCATGCCTGGCCATAGTAAGCACTGTGACGATTATGGTTAGCGTCTTTAAAATTAGGGGTTCAAGATATATTTTAGAAGCGCAAGGAAATACAAGTGCAAACTCAAAGGTAACTGATGTGTCAGAACCAACAGGGCAGAGGAAGGTTTCCTTTAAGTGAGCAGTAGCCTCATCTTTCAGGGCTGGGCTGAGTGGGGCTTCACTCTACACTGTATGCTTGAAGTGTTCTGTGAGAACAGGTCTTACACAGACACATAGACAGTGGTAACTGCTAACCACGTGAGGTGATGGGTGTGTTTATTACTTGATTATAATAGTCATTTTATAATATATACCTATATTAAATCATGTTGTGTATCTTTTAAAAAATTGTGCTGTACAACCAAAATGTATATGGTTTTGGTTAATCACCTGAATAAAGCTGGAAATTTTTTGAAAAAAAATAAATAGCATCACTGACTTGGACATAGCTTTAGAATCCATAACACAATTTCTTTATAACTCTAGAAGTAGAGAAAGTTTCCAAAAATATGAGTCCAAACCCAGAAACTGAAATGCAAGACTAGTAAGTTTCACTCCATTTGACCCAAACAACATGGAGCATGCATGGGAAAAAAACTAAGGATATTGAAAAGACAAAGGAGAACTCTGGGAAAAGTGTCTTTAGTTCATATCAAACACAAAGAACATTGAGATCACTAATATTTAAAAAGCTTCTAAATTGAGGAAAAAGTGAACAATTAGAGAAAAATATCCAAGAGATTTTTTAAAAGATTTTATTTATTTATTTATTTTTAGAGAAGGGAAGGAGAAGGAGGGAGAGAAACATCAATGTGTGGTTGCCTCTTGCTCGCTCCCTACTGGAGACCTGGCTGGTAACCCAGGCATGTACCCTGACTGGGAATTGAACCGGTGACCCTTTGGTTAGCAAGCCAGTGCTCAATCCACTGAGAGCTACACCGACCGTGAGAAGGGATGTTTTAAAAAATTCACAAAATTTAAATGAAAACCCCTTAAACATGAAAAAAATGTTCAGTTGCTCATCATAATGAGAGAACTACATTGAGATGCCATTTCTTATTATTTGAGATTAGGAAAAATTCTAAAAGTTGATGGCGTGGTGAGACTATGTGGTAAACAGCACGCTTATACATTTTCTGGTGATAAAAAGCCCTGTGGAGGGCAGTTGGCAGTATCAACCCAAATTAAACATCCATTCACCTTTTGATCCAGTAATTCTATTTCCAGGAATTCATCACAGAGATCCAATGACAAAAAATAGAAAAAGGCATTGTGGAAAATTATTTATTGCAGCAGTCTTTGTAATGCCAAAGACTGAAACCAAGTGTCTGTCAGTGTGGGACTGTGACCAAACTGGTGTGTTCACAAAGTGAGTATTTTGTAGCTGTGGA